TGTGAAATCATGTCATTCCTCGACGCATTCAGCGGATATCATCAAATATTTATGCACGAGCAAGATGCTGAAAAAACGGCCTTCATGACTCCCAAGGGCATCTTCTGCTACCTTGTCATGGCCTTCGGCCTGAAAAACTCAGGGGCCACCTACACTCGGATGGTGGCCAGAATATTCCAAGATGTCTTAGGGCGCACCATGGAGGCGTATGTTGACGACATGATTGTCAAGAGCAAGCAATCAGCAAGCCATGCTGACGATCTGAGGGAGATCTTCGCCATCATGCAGAAGTTTAGCCTTCGGCTGAACCCGAAGAAGTGTACCTTCGGCGTTCAGGGGGGCAAATTCTTGGGCTACATGGTGAGCCGAAGGGGTATCGAGGTCAACCCCGAGAAGATCCAGGCCATCATCAACATGGAGCCCCCACGCAACGTAAAGGAGGTCCAACGGTTGACGGGCCGCCTGGCAGCCCTCAATCGCTTCTTATCAAAATCGGCGGAGAAGTCCTTACCCTTCTTCCAGATCATGAGGAAAACCGCCGGTTTCCAATGGACTTCAGAATGTCAGGAGCCCTTCGAGGAACTCAAACGGTACTTATCTTCGCCCCCTGTGCTCTCCAAACCCAAGGTGGGGGAGATCCTGTACCTTTACTTGGGTGTTAGCCCGGCGGCCATCAGCTCAGTACTCATCCGAGAAGAGGATGGCATCCAACATGCCATCTTCTATGTTAGCAAGACCCTCAGGGAAGCGGAGCTCCGGTACTCCCCCGTTGAAAAAACGGTGTTGGCTATCGTGTGGACCGTCAAGAAATTGGGCCATCACTTCCAAGCTCACCCGGTCCTGGTCCTCACTCACCAACCCCTCGGCGCCTTGATGAGGAGCCCCACCAGCTCCTCCCGAATGGTGAAATGGGCTGTCTTCTTGAGCCAATACAACATCGACATCCGTCCTAGGCCCTCCATCAAGGGCCAAGCCCTAGCGGACTTCATGACGGAATGTACGGCAAGATCAGCCGCGGACGAGGAGCCCTCGGCCCCTTCAGATGATTGGTAGACCCTCTACACCGACGGCTCCTCCGCCGTCAAAGCATGTGGAGGAGGGGTGGTTCTCATCTCACCCGAAGGCTTCCGGGCCTATTATGCAGTTCGCTTCTCCTTCAAAGTCTCTAACAATGAAGGCGAATACGAGGCCCTCCTCTGTGGCCTTCGGCTGGCAGCTAACATGAAGGCACGACAAATTCACGTCAAATGCGACTCCAAGTTAGTCATCAGCCAAATCTCCGGGGAGTACGAAGCCAAGGAAGGCAGAATGAAGCAATACAAGGAGGCGGCCAAGGAGTTGCTCAAGGTATTTGAGGCACACTCTCTTACTCAAATACCGAGGGCTCAAAACTCCGAGGCCGATATTTTATCAAAGCTCTCGGCAGAATCCCCTGAGCACATCTCGAAGATTGCCAAAGTGGAAGAACTCAGCCTCTCTAGCATACATGCTAGCCCCGTCATGAACATACAACAAAGGCAGGGTGACTGGATCTCGGACATTGTCGCCTTCATCACCACAGGGCAACTGCCCGAGGATGAGGCCCGCGCCAAGCTGGCAAAGCTGAGGGCTCCCAGCTACACTATCGAAGACAGAAGGCTTTACAAAAGGTCCTACAACGGGACATTACTTCGGTGCCTTCATCAAGATGAAGCCGAAGTGGCGATGGAGGAAGTACACAGTGGCACTTGCTCAGCCCACCAGGGACCCTTCTCCATGTCCCGAAGGCTAATAATCCAGGGCTACTTCTGGCCCACGATGGCCCGGGATTGTGCAGATCTTGCCCGGAGGTGTCCCGCATGCCAACACTTCCAGAAAGCCCCCGGCAGGCCAGCGGTCAACTATGCTCCCATCAGCACATCCATACCCTTCGCTCGATGGGGCATATACCTTGTGGGCCCTCTGCCGAGGGGTACCTCCAACAACAGGTACATCATCGTCGCCATCGATTACTTCACCAAATGGGTGGAAGTTGAGCCCCTCGCCAGCATTACTGAGGCCAGGTGTCGTCACTTTGTTCTTAAAAACATCCTCACAAGATTTGGCGTCCCCCAGCAAATCATCTCCGACAACGGGACTCAATTCGAGGCAGCCCCCTTCTGTGCCCTCCTAGAGGCATGGGGCATCAAACACACCTTCTCATCCGTTGCCTACCCCCAGGGCAACAGACAGGTGGAGAATGCCAACAGGACCTTGCTCGAGGGCCTAAAGAAGAAACTGGAGGCCGAAGGGGGTGGTTGGGTAGAAGAGCTCCACAACATCTTATGGGCCTACCGTACCACCCCTCGACGGGCAACTGGCGAGACACCCTTCTCCCTTTGCTATGGATTTGAAGCTAAGGCCCCCACTGAGGTAACTCTTCCAACCCGAAGGGTCACACAGTAAGATCCAGAGGTCAACGATGCCAATATGGCCCTCGACCTCCACCTTATTTCAGAACGCCGAGAGCAAGCCTTCATACGCGCAGAAAACTACCGAAGGCAAGTGAAGAGTTACATTGACGCCAAGGTCCGCTCCCGGGAATTTCAAGTGGGTGACTATGTCCTTCGAAGAAGGGAAGCTAGCCAACCAACCGAGGGCGGAAAGATGGCACCAAAGTTTGAGGGCCCCTACATTGTGGCAACCATCATCAAACCAGGAACTTACAAGCTAAAACGCCCTAATGGGACTGAAGTCCCTAGGCACCGGAATGTACATCACTTAGTTAAATTTTATCAATAACATCAGAGCAGCCAAGCCCTCATAACTAGAGAATGTATTATCTTACGGCCCAAGGCCTAAAAATTCTGAAGAACGAAGGCATTTTGAAGACACCAAGAACTTGGAACAGAATTCTTGCGAAGGGCCAAACCCTCATATCACCCCCTGGCCCAAGGCCTTACCACAAGGAAGAACCCTCGACACAAAGTGCCGAAGGTAGACAATACTATCACCTACAACAGCAAGAAAGTACCAACTGTCCTCAAATGGAGACCCCTCGGCACTCGGTGCCGGGGGGACACACCACTGACAACTTTCAACAAATGGGAAGAAACACCAAGTGTTTCCACAGAAGACCCCTCGGTACCAAGTACCGAGGGTAGACAACACAATCACCTGCGACAAATGAAGAAAAAACACCAAGTGTTTTCACAGAAGACCCCTCGGTACCAAGTAACGGGGGCCGTACATCGGAACAAACACCAAGTGTTGTTTCTGAAGCCGTACCCCTCGAGGACGCCTATACCGAAGGCGCCACCTCTCGGTGCCGGCAGCACGTAGTGCCCCCGGCCATTTGCAACCAGTGTGCAAATGAAAACCCTTCCCTGAAACGCTTTCCGCGTCATTACCCCAAGGGTATGACAGGCACGAGAAATGCCCAGGATTCGACTTTCAAAAACGGAACGCTTTCCGCGCCATTTCCCCAAGGGATTGGCAGGCATCTAAAAATGCCCAGGACTCGACTTCCAAATCGAAACGCTCCCCGCGCCACCACCCCAAGGGTGTGGCAGGCCACGGATTATGTCTAGCGCCGAGGAGACGACTTTCAAAACTGAGGCGCTTTCCGCGCCATCCCCCAAGGGGAGGCAGGCTACAGACCACCATATCTTGTACCCAGGAAACGACCCTCGACCCCCTCGGAACTCGGAAGGTTAACCCGAGGGGGGAGCTAATGGTGTATTCTGTTACCTCCCGATAGGCCAAGCCTTACCAAGAAACCAAGTTTTTTGAAGCCTTCCCTTCACTACTAAAAAAAATGGAGTGGTGAAGGGGAGTAGACTCGGCGAGAAATCAATGAGTACATCACTCCTACAATTCACGAAAACATACCGAGGGCTCCCCATGGGAACGCCTTCGGTACCTGGAAGCTCATGAGCACAAAGGATACCATTCACAACAGACATCATCAACAAATGACTAAGTCCACTCAATGATTGCCTCCGGCTATACCTAAAACCGAAGGCTCAAATACTACAAAACATGGCAGGTTCAGCCAACAAACAACTCAAAACGTCCCCGAAGGCTACTATATAACAAAGCTATCAGATGGTGGCCAAACCAAATCAAGAATCACCTCTGGCACCTCACTACATGCCGAGGGGATGCATCCAGACAATTCTCGAGGGAGTCTGCCTTTTTATGCTAGACTTGGATTACAAACTCTCCTATATCAACATTGGGGGGACATAACAAACAACCGAAGGCTTTTTGTTACCACAAGCCAACATTGCAAGGCAAAGGAAACTATCCTAAACCTACAACGTATACAACCGAAGGGTCCCCTCCCGAAGGCCAGCAGCAGGAAATACTTAGATAAAATAATCTAAGTCCTAAATACTTTGCCCCCTGTGGAGCCACCAGCCAGCCGAAGGCGCATCTGAGACAAGGTCCTCACATTCACCCGAAGGCTCCTCCCTCGTGCAAACTACACTTAGAAAATTTTCTAAGTCCCAAAGGTTTTTGACCCTCGGTCAAATCTCCATGCAGCCAGAGGGGCTGCACAGTCAAAGGCTTCATGAAACTACACTTAGAAATATTTTCTAAGTCCTAACTATTTCTGGGCCCTCGGTCATGCATCCAGTCAGCGAAGGGTACCCAATTACCGAAGGCCAGACTGTATTCAAACACTTAGAAAAATTCTTCTAAGTCCTAAACACCTCGCCTCCGGTTATCTCATGAAGGCTACACAGAACCAGAGGGAAAGAATTAGCCGGGGGCTAACAGATGAACAAACACTTAGAAATATTTCTAAGTCCTGAACATTGTGCCCTCGGTGAAATGTTCAGATGACTAAACAGGCCTAGTGGCCGAGGGCTACAAAAGACACTGTACTTAGAGAGAAAATTTCTAAGTCCTAACATACACACATACAGAAAAGGTGAAGGCATACACACAGGAAAGACGAGGGCATACATTCAAAGGAAAACAATTAAAGGGAACGAATCATATACAAAAAGCCCTAAAGCAAGCATTCATTCATTGAGGGGAGAAAAGTTGAAGTATACATTACAAAAGGGGCCGAAGGCCAAGGGCATACAAGCATTCATTACAACAAGATTGTTCAGAATTTGTTAAATAAAAATTAGATATTAACAGCCCCGGGGGCAGTCTCTTCCGCAGGCTTTGAGGAGACCTCTATGCCGGCCTCTGCATCGCCCCCCTCGACCTCCTTCATCAGCTCCGTATCTTCCAGGTCGGGCCTCTCGACATCCGAGGGGAGAGGAACACGGACATCTGGCTGCAGGGGGGAAGTCCGTATGCCGCCGGGTCAAAGTCTTTCTGCTCGATCTTCAAATGACGGGCCATCCTCCGGTAGATGAGGGCTTGAGTAAAAAACTCACCCCCATCATAGTATTGTTTGCCCTTTCGGGAAACCCATTCCACACCGGGCCCGTCACACCATTCATCGACGGAGGACTCCACGACCGAGGACAACCATTGTTTATGCTCCTCTTCTCTCCACCCTCCTGCCAAAAATCCGGAGACGGCGTCCTCTCGGGCCTTCGTGACGGCATTCGCCTTGGCGGCCTCGGCCTCATTGGTGGCTCTCTCGAGGGCTTCAGCTGCGGACCTCTCAGCCTCGGCCTTGCCCTGGTCTGCGGCCTCCGCCCGCAGCGTCATCTGCCGAAGGCTCTCCTCCAGCATAGCCATCTGCCGGATGGCATCAGAGTTCTGGCAGATAAGCTCCCGCATCTTCGCATCCTGCTCAGCCTTGTGCCGACGCCACTCCTCCAGCCTCCAGGCCTGTTCACCGAGGGCAATGCAAGTCTGCAAGTTATAAAGATGTTAGGAAAGCCGTACATTATATCCTAGCACGAAGTAAAACAGTAATCAGGGAAAAACTTACTGTGAGGGAAGACCGGAGGATCTTGTCCTCGAGGGCCAGGTCATCATCAGCCCCGAGGGCGGCTCTGTCAATCTCGGGGGTCATGCCCCTCAGAAGTACCCTCGGGTCCGCCGTGCAGTTCGTCACGGCTGTTCCTACCGGGAGAGAAACCATGAGGACCTCGGAGGATGGCTCCCGGACACCCCTCGGCACTTCCGCCACCGGCATCTCCACAGGGATCCTGGAGGCGGGGCAATCATCTACAATGACCACGGGGGGATCCTTCTTCCCGGCATCTCCCGTTTTTGGCCTTTTGCCCTCGGGAGCCTTGCCCGCAGCCTTTCTCTTCGCAGTGGCGGCAGCGTCAGCACTTGGGACCGCCGACGGCCCCTCGGGCTTCTTAAAGAAGACACCGGCGGGTTTAGAGACGCCAGCATCCGTCCCCTTCGGGACCTTGGAGGATTTCTTCTTCTTCAGGTCAGCAAGCCCTCTGACGTTCATCATGGAGACCGGGATACCTGCAACACAATATGGGGTTAGGCCGACGGGTCATTAACAGATGGCATGAAAGTACAAAGAAAAAAAAAACTATGTGCTAAAATACGAAAATAAGGGTGCTCTCAGCTGCTACCTCCGGAGGCTCCCTCAAATGCTGGGTACTTTTCATCCGTTTCCCCCAGGAAGCGATACCGCCCCCGAGATATCTTGAGAGTCGCTTTGTGAGGACATCGTCTGTGCTAGCTCGAGGGCTCGGATATACTAAGTGCTCTAAGCTAAAATTCCTAAGTATAAGTCCTAAGGTCGCTAAGCACAGCTAGGTAAAAAGGGTGGAGGACAAGTGAGGAACTGACCTTGAAACGGGAGTTAGATCGAAGGCAGTTGTTTCTCTCTCTAGGAATTTGGGCAGAGCTTCGCTACAATGATACCGCACAGAGTAAAGCGGCCTGGCCATGGGGTATTTATAGGCGCCCAAATCCGGGCTTGGGCCTGAATACCGGGCCTCCGGTACAAAATCATCATTACCAACCGACGTGTTGCCCAATCGGTGACGCCCGCCCACGGACAGCCAACGAGCACGCACCACGCGGAAGCCCCCCCAACGGCTATATTTTGACGTTAGATATTCCAACGGCTATATTTCCAACGGCTATATTCTGGGAGCTCCCGGCTACACTTAAGAAGACCACTCCTTCATCAACCAAGAAACTAGTACCCGAGCTTTTTACTTCACTCCACTTCATCAAGAAGAGCCCCCGGGTACACTTACCCAGAGACGCTCCCAGTTTGTGCCCCTCACACTACATAACAAATGCCTTCGGGCTCACTCCTTCAGAAGCCCACGGCTTCATAACAGGCACACCCCTCGGGGATCCCCCCTCAGCACTTTGAGGGCCGGGTAGCCCCCGGGGAGTACGCCTCATTGACAGATAGCCTACGGCACACAAATAACGGGAGCCCTCGGATACCCTCCGCACCAACTAATCAGCAAACAGGGGACACCCCGGTAACACTTCAACTACTACTCACATTCATCATGCCCTCGATCCCCAGATTGACGGACTCCCCTTCGGCACCTCCCAGGATGTCGACAGCACGCCTCCGGCTAATCAACACATGCGCCCTCAGAACAAGGATAGCCTTCGGCATCAGCATTGTACTCCATTTCGAACCAGGGCTTCACATTTTCGATTTATCGTTGGGGGAATTCGGTGCACTCTTTTTCCCTCATTAGGATTTTTTCCCACAGGGTTTTTCCTAATGAGGTTTTTAACGAGGCATCCCCCCAAAATGAAACGAAAAGCGTCAGCCTTCGGCCCAATACAGCAACATGATTACTCTACTCCTTTTCACCACTTTGCAAGTGCCTCAAGGAGTGGGGGACTGGAGAACCCCCCTCGGGAAAAATCACAAAAGTGCAAAATGCTAAAAACTCCCGCAAACAGCAAACATGCCCCCTCAAGTCCCGACATGTGGGTAACTGAGGGACTGCCCTCGGCAGAATAAACAGACAGCAAACTACCCACAACTCTACAAACTACAACGGAACAACGGTAGAGGACAAACACAATTACTCCTTTTCCCTCAAGTACCTTTCGGAAAAAGGAGTGAGGGACTCCTGATGGAGTATATGGCCCGGGAACCCCCGGTCCACAGACTCCTACTACTTCAATAAAGGCCCAACAGGCCCAGAAAGCACAACAGGCCCAAATCACAGCGCCCAGAGTATCAAGCGGCCCACAGTGCGCACTAGGGGTGCCTTCGGGCCCCTGGCAGAAGGCTCCAATTCTCACAGGAGGGTCAAAACAGGAAAACAAAGTTATTGGGAAAAACGGAGAAAATCAGTAGCCCTCGGCACCTAGAGCCCTCAGCACTAAGGAGGTCCCCGGTACTCAGAGCCCTCGGCTAATCATGTACAGCCGAGGGCACCATTTCGGACATAATATCCACTCCACATGCGTATGGATCACCGTACCCAGTACGACGTCACATCCAACAGCCGCATTAAATGCGGCCACATGCGATTGCCAGCGCCAACCAGTTGAGGTGACCTCTCGGCCAATGGACGTTTGACACATGTCCCTGTCTGGCATTTATTACTACTATAAATAGCACCCTATTTCTCCATTTGTAACCAAGAGGCAAATACGCTGAATACACTTTCTAATATACTCTCTCTCTACTTACTTGCTTTGACTTCTCTCTAGTTATTCCCCGTAATAACCCCTCGGATAAGTTACCCCCCCGGGTACACTATCCATCATACTACATAACTCAAATGAAGGAGTTGTTTAAAGTTTACCTACAACTGTGTCTTCTGCTATTCGGAATCCAGTGTGCTACGAACGGCTATTCTCCATCTCAGAGGAACGGGTGCTGTGCTCAGAAGATATGGATAAGTGTGGTTGTTGGAACGGGTGAGGGGAACATAACTTTCGTGGGGTATTATTAGTTGGCGGTAATTGTTTTTTCACCCGTGTGTTTAAGGGTAAGGGTTTACCGGTTGTCCAGGTCGTGGGTGTCAAGGTGCATTATTGGAAAAGGGGGACCCAAGTTGGGAGTACAGGGAAATAATCAATACTAGGGATTATTAAAAGCGGACCGCGTATAGTTGGGATTAATAATACCTAATTTTCCTTGTTTGTTTTGATCAGTTCAGAAGTAGTTTGATATATAAATATCTAATCTTTGTGTATTTTATAAATATGGAAAACGATGTAACTCACTTTTATTTAAATGCAACTCACATTGATGAAAAAATGAGGGATTTACCTAAATGGGAGTAATTATATTATTAATTGCCAAGATAAGACCAAAGTATAATAATTCCCCAAATAGGAGTTATTATTTGCAGTTGGACAAAAATATCCCCAAACTTCACAAAGCCCTTGACAGACCACCTGACCCGCCGCCTCCAGCCACCTCCGGCCGCCGTCGCCCGCCGTCGCCCACCTCAGGCTGCCGCCTCTGCATATCAGATCAGCGCCACCGTAGATCCGGCCACAACCTCCCTAGATCGGACCAGATATGGCCTCTGTTGACCGCCACTCCTGCAGATCCAGCCGCCGCCACTGCAAATCCGGTCGCCACCGTCACAGATCCACCACTGCTACCCGTAGATCTGGTCGACGTCGCCACTAATGCCAACCTTTACATCAGAATGCCAACAATAATTAGAGAATGTCATCTTAATGGCATTTATAAAGAAAAATTTGAAAAACTTAAAGAATAGGAATGCCATTTTGTTGGCATTTAAAAAAAATTGGCAATTGTAAAACCAAATACTGTAGTATTCACTCGAGCCATTGGAAGCCCCCAAAGCCCAAGTAAACCACGCCAGATTCAGACGGGGAAAATTGAAGAAACAAAGGAGTGCAAGGAAGAGGTAGACCTACTGCCGCTGCTCCCCAGTGCACACTGTCGCTGCTCGCCGGCGCTCTCTGCCGCTGCTCGTCGTCGCTCGCTGCAGTTGCTTGCCACCACTTGCCGTTGAAGCCCAGCTCGCTGTTGCGCACAAAGATGCGGAATGTTCAAAGGCAGAAGCTTGGTTTGCAAAAGTTGAGAGAGATTTTGGGAGTTGGCTGGAGTAAATCAGCGAACAACTCGTTAAGGGTAATATTGGAACACAATGAAACTTTAGTCCTATTTAGGTTTTAAAACAAGAGTAGTCCTACATGTGAACATTTAGTCTTTTTTACTCCTATTTACAACCATTTTCTCATGAAAAATCTAATTTGAGGCAAGTCGAAATGTAAATTGTTTATAATGTCGTATAAGAAATATAATATTAATTTCAACGTAAAAAATAAAAAAAGAGAAATCGAATTGCCCAATTATTTTACATAAATATAGGATATGCTTTATTTTTATTATCAAGTTATAAAACTGATTTTTTTTATCGTTTTTGTTTCAATAACAGACAAATGTAACTCGCGCATACGAAAATGTAACTCGCACACATGAAGATGTAAATCGTGCACAAGAAGATGTAATTCATGCACATGAAAATGTAAATTGATGCATAAAAGATTTAACTTCATATATTATCGAATGTAACTTAGGGTAAAGATAATACAGTAAATTATAACCTTATACGGAGTATGTATTAGAATTATAACCATATACTACCTTTGTACCGAAAAGGTTTGTCATATTGACTTTTCTTGATTAATGGTGGCAAACTTTGTACAATGATTTTAAACTACATAAAAAGAAATATGCCATATTAATAAGAATAATTCATACTTTAAAAGATGCTACAATAATAATCTATACTAAAAGCGTTCATAAAAATAATCTGTACTAGTAATGATTTTCATGGAAATAAATTGGAGTAAATTCAAACTAATTCTCATTGAATGCTCCCTAACCCTATACCCCACTTTTTCTACCTCACTCTTTTTCTAAGCGTGAATTCAAATTAATGCTCGTTTAGTCTCATCGTTATTTCCATAATATGTGCTTCATTGTGGGTTGGAAGACAAAAATGTTACATGAGATGAAAAATGGTGAAAGGGGAAGTGGATGTAGGGATTGAAAGTATTAAATGAGTTTTAGTTTGTATTATCCCAATTTATTCTCATAGACACCATTGTTAGTATGACTTATTTTTGTAAACACTTCGACATAGATTCTTATTGTAGAATCCTTCAAAGTAGAGGTTATTCTTGTGAATTTTCCCAAAAAAAAGTGGTCTAACTATTATAGAGCAGCAAATTTATTTGAATAAAAAATAGTCTTCGCTTACCTTATTCTTCCCATCTTCTCGTCTCTTCCATCAATCTTCTACTTTCTCTCCTTATTCTTCATCACTTTTCTTGTTCTTCCTTTTCTTCAATATTCTTCTTCCAGATCGATTCTGGTCCCAAATTATTATTATTATTTTTGCAGAAAAAATAATAATTATTATGAAAAGTTATGAATGTAATTACGTATGCATTAAACAACTCACATCTCTTTCTAAGTTCTCACGGCTATACTATACAAATTTTGAATTCAAAACGTAATATGAAAATAGCTTGCACTTTGATAAAACTTGTCAACATACTCTTTTTCATTGTAGAGAAAACAAACTCAACATATTTATTTTTTAAGAATGCACAAATTATATACTTTCTCTGTCCCTTAAATTTATTCTCACTTATCATTTTGGGCAGGCCGGTCCTAGCTAGAGGGTGGGGGGAACAACAGAGGCGACCGCCCTAGGTCCCAAAATATAGAAAGAGAAAAATATGCCCAAATTTTTTTCTTCATATATGTGTGAGTGAGCTTCTTTTTTTAAGTTTAATTAATTAGGCCTAATGTTTAATTTTTGTTATCAATTTCCAAAAAAATAGAATATACATTAATTTTAGATACGACTAGTTATAGTTTTTAATCTTTTTATAGCAATGCAATTATTGCTGGATCAATAAAAGACATGTCTCTTCAGTCTTCACATTTCTTTAGTTTTTAATATTTTTTTATTCATTTTAAGCGATTATTGATGATTGTGTTTCACATTGGTCTCCGAAAAAAATTTAAGTAATATTTTTTTCTTTTATGTAATATTTGTGTTGTTACTTTTGCTCAAATATGTAATTTAAACAATATGTATAGTTTACGATTCGCCTTGAATACATATAAGCCCTATATAGTACATCGCCCATAGGCCTAGAAATGGGCAGGTTCGGCCCTGATTTTGGGATGCCCTAACAAATTCTTCTCATTTCCCTTTTTGAAAAGTTTTGTGTGGCTAACACACATTTTTCTTTTTTTACTTAACTACAATCATACATTTCAACTTAATTCTCACTTCCTTAAACTTCGATCCAAGTCAAACCGGAAAGAATTTTATGGGATGAAAGGAGTAAGTGTTAATATTGAAAATGCAAAATTTTGCAATGGTGTTGGTGTTGAGCTGACGAAACGTCTTCCAGCAAAAATTTATAACCTATATTCATTAAATTCGAGGTTGTGATGGTGTTGAGCTATCGAAACGTTTTCCACGACTTTGAGACGATGAAGAAATTTTTTTGATCATAAAAGAACGGATTTATATTAAAAATGAGAATGCATACAGACAAGTCAACCTTCAAACAGTCTTTACGGATCTCATCGTGAACCCTAGGAGTAGACATAGAGTGAGTGACCTCATACAAGGTAACCTGACTCGCTAAAGCTGAAACGGGCAAATTTAAGCCTAAAACGAACGGATCTGAAACCTTGTCTATCAAAAGAACTCCAAAAATCCAAACACTCAAACCAAGTCTACTCAGACTAAAACAGAAACAAGTACTACTTAAGAGAAAATAATATTGAAATAAAAATTTTCCACAAAACTCTTCCTTGTATGGAGGTGGTTCCGTAGGAGAACGAGCTCTTGCAATATGGGTGAATACCAACTCCACCACCGTCGGAGCGGCCGACCAAGGCTTCACGATCCAGCATCGATACAAACTCCCAACCGCAATTCATTCATCCGCCAACGATATCTCCTCTAACATAGTTGTAACTCCAAGCGTTAGAACACTTAAAATCAATATAATTTGCCTCTCCAGCCCCATATTGATAGGGATAGAGGGGAAATCTCAACCCCTACAAAGAGGGGGCACTGTCGATAGGGTTTTTCCCTTACTTCACTCTCTAACTTCCCTATTAGTTAGATGACGAAGAATTTAAAAACTCACTTTTACAGTTACATGAAACATTATTCATATTAAAAGACATTCTTGATTTCGACATTCCCAAATTGTAATGAGTATATGTGATGGAGTATATGGCCCGGGAACCCCCGGCCCACAGACTCCTACTACTCCAAACAAGGCCCAACAGGCCCAGAAGGCCCAACAGGCCCAAATCACAGCGCCCAGAGTACCAAGCAGCCCACAATGCGCACCAGGGGTGCCTTCGCCCCCCTGGCCGAGGGCTCTAACTCCCACAGGAGGGCCAAAATAGGAAAACAAGATGACTGGGGGAAACGACGAAAATCACTAGCCCTCGGCACCTGGAGCCCTCGGCACCAAGAGGGTCCCCAGTACTCAGAGCCCTCGGTTAGTCCTCTACAGCCGAGGGCACCTTTCCCGACATGATATCCGCGCCACATGCGTGCAGGTCACCGTACCCTGTACAACGTCCCATCCAACAGCCGCATTAAATGCGGCCACATGCGGTTGCCAGCGCCAACCAGTTGAGGTGACCTCTCGGCCAATGGACGCTTGACACGTGTCCCTGTCCGGCATTTATTGCTACTATAAATAGCACCCCATTTCCCCCTTTGTAACCACGCTGAAAACGCTCCACACTTTGCAATATACCTTCTCTCTCTATATTTACTTGCTCTAACTTCTCTCTTATCACTCCCCGTAATAACCCCTCGGATAAGCTACCCCCGGGTACACTATCCATCATTTGGTGCTCTCGTTGAGAGGTCGAACAATCAAGTAAGAAACCCTCCCCCTTCGCCAAACACTAGCCCTCTACCAAAATGGTGAGAACAACACGTGCCAACTCCAAAAACGTAGAAGACAAGAACCTGGCCCTTGGCGACGTCAACGCCCCCGATGCCTCTCACAGGGCTCCCGAGGGCGGTGTCATCGCTGGGCTGGAACAGGCGGCTGTCGACCTACGCCTTCAGATCCAGCAGAATGCCCCCGATGCCCGCCTTGGCATCGAGGCCAAGAAGAAGAACTGGAGCGATGACCAAGTCAGCCCTCAGGTCCTCACCATCGACGTTCATTCGGCGCTCTCCGCCTTCATCCAGACGCTCACTCAGAACCCGGGTGCCTTCGGCACCCTGGCTCCGGCTCAACCCCATGTTGGGGAGAACATCATGCTTCCCCCTCTGCCACACCCCTTCGGAAACCCCATCCCTCGGATTGGGAATGACGAAGGGGTAGTGGCCCAAGATACGGCCTCCCAGGAAGTTCAGTCCCGGGACCGCCACAATGACAACAGAGAAAGGCCCCGCAATTCCGCCCTCAACCGGCTCGGAGGGGGGCAAGACCGCCTCAGAGGAAAGGCACTCCAAAGGCCCCAGGAAAGCGGAGGGTCTGTCTCGAGGGCAGACGAGGAGCGTCCCCCTCGGGACAAAGGCAAGGCACCCCTTCGTGCCGACGATGCTCGCCACCAAATCAACCAGGCCCACTCGGCTCGGGTTCGTTCGCAGGGGGCGGAGGCCCTCCCGAAGGATCCTCGGGACGAAATTATTGTGGCCCTCCAACACGGACTTGATGAAATGGAGGCCAACAAAGCTCACGCCACCACCTCCACCCCTCATTCAGACCTCAAGTACGAGGCCATGATGGCCAAAATTGAGGAATTGCAGAAGAAGGTAGCCGAGGGCTCCGGGGAACCCATCATCCAGCTCCGGACCCGGACGCCATTTACCCCAAGGGTATTGGCGGACCGGATCCCGAAAAAATACCGAGGGCAACACATACAGCCCTACAACGGGAAGACGGACCCCCAGGAGCACTACAACAAATATCAGAACAGCATGATGATGGTAGGGGCGTCGGACGAATATTTGTGTCGTTGGTTCCTCTCCACCTTAGAGGGGCCGGCATACGAATGGTTCAACCGGTTGCCCGAAGGCTGCATT